ATATTAGCCGCGGGCGGAGTAGCATTAAAGGGGAACAGTTAAATTAATAATTCCGAAATTGCAGAGAAGAGAGAGAGAGAGAGAGAGAGAAAGAGAGAGAGAAAGAGAGATGTCATTCGTGGCATAGGTTTCTTTGTACAGTTATAGGTTTTTTGGTAGTAGCGACTGGAAAGCTGTATAAATGACACATCTTACGCTAAATCATGTTTAACAAACTGCAACTGGTTCGCGTTTTCATGCTGCCATGCTGAAAGAATTAATTTTTTTAATTGAGTAAGGATGTTATTGATTTGCAATTTTATTAAAAAAGATATTAATTTAATTAATCAATTTTATTTTTGTAATTAAGCGATGATATCTACACACTGAACAAATCACTATCCGAGATAAATAATTTTGGATTTGTCAGACGTTTTAGTTTTTAAATAATATTTGTTTTTTGTTTTTTTTTGTACGAATATATCGACAATTATATCGATTCCGATTTAGGCTGACGCTATAATCATGTGTACTATATAGATGAGTAATCTATTACTACTGATTTAGTTGAATTATTTGGTTTTGTAATTTTTATTTGTTTAAATTTGCTTCAATTGAATCACATTTGTTTTCATCAAAATACCGTTTCGACTAAAGTATCGAGACCAACAGGTCTAATGTAATTCACGATTTAATGGCTTCAGTCATCTGCATATATTATTATACGTAATACTTTCTTTCTGATGTAATTTTTTTATTAACATGGTTCCGCTTAAAACATATATTGTACATTGGCTCAATTAACCGTCGATTGCTGTAATTTTCGCGCGTCAATCTAATGAGAAACGAGGTTATTTCGGACACCTCGTAACAGAGCACCGGTTGCACCGGGAGAATCTTACCGGCATCGGTAATTATGGGGCTTCCATTTCAGGACGGGCCTCGATTCTACACGATGAGGCCCCGACAACTGCGGAGCTTGTTATTGGCAACGTAAACAACATGATTATCTTCTTCCGCAGTGAAACTGCCAAAAAAGATTCTATTAATATTTATGACGATCCGAGCGTGCGATTCGCTTCGACACCCTGCGGAGTGGTTAGGCTTGCCAAATTATGCGATGGAATGAATTATAGGTTGCGGCTGCAGCGTGCGATCGTTTCCTGCGCTTTCATTACCATCGAAACCATATCTGCTACACTCGTAAATGAGTGATGAAGACGAATGAGAAATGCATTTATCAATTTTGCAAACATAGCGTGGCTCGTGCCCGTAAAAATGCTGTTCAACAAATCAGCGTACTTCGCTACTTGGAAATGGCCTAACGCATGACGCTCGAAAAAATCGTAGCTTTATATTGAATAATTATAAATCCATACTAAAATATCCGTAATAAAATTATTCTTATTATCAGTTAATTGAATACCCATTAGGCAATCGAATAAATTATAAATGAAAAAATGTGATATAATTATAAAAATATAATATTATTGCACGTATTACGAAAAATATTTTTATTTGTGCGGATTTACAATATACAATTTTGATGCATTGTGTATAATATGATTTTCAATAACTAATGGAATCAGAATGATAATAATTTATTGAAGCATATACATAAAATGTATAGAGATGGAAAGATTTCAAACGATTATAAACAAGTTAAACAATTATATATACAAGTATAAAATTTGTTCGGCGACATCGAATTATATCCCGCGAGCGCAATAGCGTTTCTCTTTAATGACATTTAATAATGCCACACATCATCCAGCATCATTGCGAAAAAAATGGCGTCTTCACATTGGGGTCAATAGCGTATCATATATTCATTCAGAACATTCCATCACAAGTCGAATAACGAGCCTTTTTTTATTGCTTCGAGAAATCGCGCGTATGACATGCAGATTCGACACGCGACGGCGATATTTTATTTCGACATGTACAATATTTTTTATATCTGTCACTGGATTTATACGATAAACAGGATCCAATAATCTACTGGAATGGATAGCCCAAAATTTGTTGTTATTGATACGATGGCACGTTTTATTCGTTTGCATATTTATTTATTATAAATTTTAAAACGACGATGTTTACGCAGCACTTGTATTCATCTCTCTGACGCGTGTATATCTGCATGCTTTTATGCGCAAACGTAAAGCTTCGAATTTATCTCTGTGGATAAATACATTGGAGATGAATTAAACAAAATCTGATTTTCCAAATAATTAGACCGCCGCGAAATTATTGTACACATTGTAATCGCGCTCTGGATGTGTAACTCCAACAGCCAAGAATGAAGTGTAAATAGCGTGGAAAATGGAGTTTATCATTTTGCAAGGTAATAACGCTCTGGACTAAGCGCTAGACAAATTGAAGAATGAGCATATTAATTACGTCATACTCCATTGGGATTTACCGCAGACGCTGTCGCCACATTTTCACGTTACGAGCGAAGTTCCGTAAAAATAGAGGGACATTAAATTCCCTCCAGCAACGAATTCCGGGTTAACATTCTCGGAACGGTCGCTCTAACGAGCTCCACGATAATAAAAGTGAAAGGCGCGCGCACGGACGCGAGTCAGCCCCGGTTTCGCCGTGCGCGTTTTCTTTGTCGAGGAAGGGGTTGAAGAAATTGGCAGGAAGGAAGGAAGGAAGGAAGGAAGGAAGGAAAGAAAGAAAGAAAGAAAGAAAGAAAGAGGAAGGGAGCGAGAGGAGAAAACGGAGAGAAAGAGAGAGATTGGCAATGCGATATTTCGCTATCTCCGGGCGCCTTCTCAACATGTTAATTGTATATTTGAGGTGAGGCGATAAACAAGGCCTCGTCGGTAGCTCGCTGCTCTTGCCGCGGAGAGTCTTCATTACCAGCTGTAATATATAACCGCAGCCCCGCGGGGGCATTCCCGATTCGCAGAGCGAATTACGAAGTGCCGGATACGTACCGGGTGGCTGAGAGAAACCGGATTAGACGATCGCCCGCTGAACGCAATCGTCGCGATCAATAACTTGCTCGGCTCGCTCTCTTCCGTTAACTCGTGCGACCATCTGGGCCTCGGATCAAACGGTCCTCTTGTTACCAGAACATGGGCATGAGAGGGGGACGTTACTTTAGCTTCGCAAGCCAACTTTCGCGAAGTCGCCGCGGCTAATCGTGTCCCGGCATCTCGGCTGTTCATCGTACCTCGCAGCGTTCTGGATAAGGGCTCACACGGGAAGAAATCACATGTGATCTCGGGTACATCGGTTTTGAAAGCGGTTTCTCGTGTATACAAGGTGTCCTCGGTTCTTTGCAATTTTTTTTTATTCACAGACTATTTGATTAATTTGAAACAATTTTCTCTTAATAGAAATATTGTGAGTGAAAATCTAGGAGTTTATGCGACATAAAGATACAAATTGATAACGAAAACTTTAAAATATCTTGCTTATTCTTTTTTACATTAAAAATAAACTTTGCTTGTGCAGAATTTTAATTATAGATTTTGTTAACGAAAATAGTTTAGTTAAGAGAAATACAAAAAAGCATAGTATTAAATTTTTGCTTAAGAAAATGTAGCTCCGATTTTATCAAAGAAATATAAAACAATAAGTCTTATAGTATGTCGTATATCTTATTTCAAACTGAGATTTAAATTCAATTTTGGTTAAGAAGAAATTAATTCCAAAGTATTAAAAAAATTTTTTTCGTGTGAATATTGCTGAAACATACTGTATACGCGTGTACCGATCCAGCCGTCCGGTTCCAAGGTGTGAACCGGTTTTCTTGACTCGATTTTCGGCATGAGCTCTCCGATCCGCCTTCAACCCTCTCGGACTCTTTCGGCGGGGTTCTGGCACATCATTTTTGTCCCCCTCGTTGGAGCGAGCGAGGCTTTATTCAGGACACGACGTGGTGGATAGCGACGGCACGCCCTCCCGGTGTCAGATTTTATTTATCTCACGGCAGCTTTTTGTTTCGCGCTAAATACTCCGACGTTTAAGAAGACTGGCTTCCTCGATTTATGGCCGCCGTCGTTGCCTCGAGTTCAGTTTCTTGCTCCTCTTCGTCTCTCGACTCGTCGTGCGATTCACGCGGGCTCTTTGAGGATACTCGTCTCGCGGTTTATCTGCCGCTGGCATCTCGTTTCCGTCGAAACGTTGCCAGAAGACGAATACGTTGCTCATTAATCACAAACTTAGATGTGGAATTAGGATTATATTAAAGTGCAAACTATGAAGAGTACGCGATAACAAGTTTGAAATTTATTTTGATCCATCGCTAATTCCTGTTCTTTTTTTTCTCGTTTTGTCGCAGATAAATATGGAAGCGGTGACTTCGACCGACTACGATTCCACAAATCTTAGCAGGAATTTCAATCAGGTTGGCTTCAATACCTATAATTACTCGCAGTTCGAGGAAAAGTACAAGCCGCGGCAAATCTTCAAATATGGCGACGAGTATCTCGAGTACGGGCACAGACTCGGCGCTAACGAAAGATTCGCGCGGTCGAAATATCAGGACGGTACGAGATTCGATCAGCGATACTTGCGAAGCCACTCTCAGCCGGAACGGCAACACCATCTGTCCCAGGAGACGCGTTCCAAATCTCAGGACTCACGCGAGCTCACGTTCTATCAGATAGATCCGCCTGTGAAATTGGAGAACTCAACACGGCAACACGACAAGTCGCATCAGAAACTGAAAAAAGAATTGACTTTCTACGAGATCGACGGACCTCCCCCGACCGGTCAGGAGAGGAGAGAGAAGTCCGAGGTGTGTAAGGAGCGTGGCGACAAGGGGACCAAGTCCCACGATAAATTTTATGCCGGTGGTCAGGAGAGATCGCAGACTGCGAAGCACGGCCGGCAGGAGCAGCAGAAGACGTTGGTGAATGCGCTGAATCGTTCGCAATCGGATCTCACGGAGTGCCAGCTGCCGAATTACTACGGGCATCGGAATAATCCATACATCGATCCGCCTAAATATCGACAGTTCGACAGACTGCCGCGCTATCAGGAGATCCCGCCGAGATCGGAGCCGCCGCCTAAGTATCACGTCGATCCGCCAAAGTACACCGAAGTGTCCAGACGGCAGGACGACTTTAAGCGGATACAGGTAAGCCACGTAGAAAATTCTCGTCTTTTAGAATTCGAGCTTAGAGTGTACGATCATTCCAAGACTTTATCATTTGATGTTGCAATATACAAGCTGTCTAGCAACATCGTCACAACAACCAAAATCGACGCAGGTTTAGTTTTAAGCAAGGTTCTATATTAAGAGATATTTTGCATATGCTTTGTTGTTGAAGAAATTAGAAAATAATAACAATATTTTACGAGAACCACTTATTTAAGAAAATCTATATCTTAAATTTTACAAATTAATGTTTTGTAAAAATAAATAGATGTAGAATTATTTTATTGGAATACGTTAATTTTGTTTGATAACAGGATACAATTTTACGCGATATTTTTAATATGTAATTATTTACAAAATTAAATTGCGAATTATAATATAGAAAATATCAACGGGAAGCAAATTTCGAAGTAAATTACTCTTTTAAAATTCCCCGATAATTAAATCCGATTTTTCTCAAATAACTGGTTCTAAGGAGACTATCATCTGCTCAAAGTCGTACACTATCATTATTGTTCCATTCTCTCGCCGACTCACGTGGCGGCATGTTAACAGTAGAGCGCGCATGAATCGTAGTACTACACGCCGACTACTATGTCGTGTTATCATTCGACAGGAGGAGAGGGGCAGACGACAAGGTAGCGGCGGCGGGGGCGGTAGCGGTGGCGGTAATTCCGGCGCAGGAAGGGGGAACACCGGCACTCATGGCGCCGAGACGCCCTCTAATCTGGCCAGTATCACGCCGACCGCGCGAGAAGCAACACGCACAGTGATCGCGCGACAACGACTGTCCCATAAGACGTGCGACGTACGCATCAGTAACACAAATAATAACAATAACGATAACAACAGCAATAGCAAGGAGAATTTGCTGCAGGATACCGGCGATGATTGCAACGCGCCGTTGTCCTCCCGGTGTCACGTCGAGGCATTGAAGAGTCATCATCATCATTATCATCATCAGCAGCAGCAAGCAGCTCGCGGGATCGGTGGTAGCAACGTTGCTGCCGTTGTCATCGGTAATGCCTTGCCGGACGGTGGCGGCGGCTCGTGCGGCGAAGTACGACGTGCGACAAGTACAAGGGCACCGGGTCGGAGTCGAATCGGGGCGGCAGCAGCGACGCGGTTCAAGGTCGTTTGACCGAGAGATCCATGCTGAAGATCGAGAAGTTGTCGGGGAAGGCCGCTCTTCACAGCGGCGAGTCGGCAGTCGGCAAGTGCGGCGTGGAGAGAATGAAGTCGACCTCGCAGGAGACCGGCTATAACAAGCACGAGGCCGGCAAGGGCAAAAGTCACGATGTCGGGCACGGTTACAAGGTCGAGAATCTGCGTTATTACGGCGAGTTGAAAAGTTACGCCGATTACAAGGCTTACAGTGCCGTGGACAAGCAGTTAGTGTCCGCGCACGAGAAGTCGCATCTTCACCATCCTCCTTCCTCGTGCGAGAAGGGCGACAAGTGTCACGGCAAAGTGTCATCGTCTTCGTCTTCGTCCGCGCAGGGTTACAGTTTGGCCAAGATCGGGCAACAGCAGTCGGACAAGAGCCACCACAGTGCTGATCACTACTATCACAGATCGTCGCATTTGAAGCCACCGAGCGCGTATCAGGTGTACCAGGAGACCAAGTATTCGTACAACGTGAGCGGGGTGCCCGGAACGCCGGCGCAGGCCAGCGCAGCAGCGGCTTTCTTTGCAAGGTCAGTGTACTTCACCTTAACCTTATGCGAATACGATAGCGCCTTGCGATAGCATGCTGACGACGCACCTGCTGACGCGTCTGACGCGAGCGTGTCCCATTTATCGCGATACCTCCAACTCTTCCGGTATCGCTAACCTTAACCCTAACGGGGATCGATATGTTTTGTCGTATGAAAGTAGGGAATTTAAGGGGGGGAACTATAAATTACTTTTCTATGCAATTATCTCTGTTTACAGTTCGATAATTTATTTATTCACGAAAATTTGGAAGTTAAATGGGTTATATTTGCATGGGTTTTCACTATTGGACGATTTTTCTTTGAATTTTATTAAGTGTGTATTTCATTTTAATTTGTCGCATTCTTCTTTTTGCTTTAATCCGATATAAAATAATATCAATAATTTTGAAATATCAGAATAATAATATTTTACGCAAACATTTAATTTTGATATCGCAAACGTTAAAACCTTTCAGAGTAAAATTGTGAAAATTTAACTGAATCTTATTACACACGTGATCAATTTAAATTTTTTTAAATACTATAGATCTCTCTTCGCGTATCAATGTGGTGACGTGTGGAACGGCTAATAAATAAGAATGAAAAATTGTCAATTCTACTTAAACAGTTTAAATACGCGAGAATTTAGTAGGTTATTAGATTTTTATTCGGAGAAATTTATACTTTCATCTTGTGTGTGTGTCGCGCACGAAGAAACCAATTTACAAGATCATAACTATGTGTATAGATCTCGTATTCCGTTAGCGCGTATCTGCGGGCAAATGTAAAAAGTTGAGTGCCAAGCATTTTTCATCGTTATCAAGCAGGTCTGCTTCTTGGAGCGTGAACGCAATCGAAGCAACGCTTGCGATACGTTAGCAAAAGCATTATTTATTACGTGTATCAATAGCCTGTTTATACTGGAAATCTATAAACTCAAAGTTTGCTCAACTCAATACACTTAAATTTAATCTTAATTGAAAAAAAATGCATTGCACTGATAAAAGCCGGAATAATACCTAACATGTGCAATTTAACAACGCTTTCCTTAGCTTGCACATTTTTCTCTCGAAAGAATGGTATCAAATAATCCATTTTATTCTTCACCTTTGTGTCATTCTTATTCTTTTCGAGCATGCTTTCGAGTTTTCCGTGCTTTAACACGGATAATCACAATTGTGCGAGCATAACTGGCTGTAGAGCAACACTCAGCTTTAAATCTCCTCGTTCCTTTTCCACGAGTAGGCGGAAGGTGTGAAAGCCCGATTATCCCGAACCGTTGGTCTTATAAAGCGCATTTTTATGACGCCAACTACCCTCGTGGAACACGCATTATGCGGCCATCCTTCCTGCTTAGATCGGTCTGGAGCTTTGATCTCGGGTCGCGTATTTTCGTTCGCGTTCTCTTATGAAAGCATACGTAGCTTGCGTGCGGGGGCACGAGTGAGCGTAAATCGCATGCGGTTTACATGCGAGGAGAAAGCTTTTTCTCTCTCTCTAAGGGTTCCACGGCCATCTTTTCCCCTTAACCTTAGGCGCGACCTCAGCCCTTTAATAACCTTGCTCATAGCTCGTGGATATTGTAAAGCACAATGGCATTCTTGGGGTCGCCTGCCCGCGTCTCCATCTTCCCCGATCCCTCTCTCTTTCTCTTTCGCGTTCTTGTTCCCTTCACGTTTGTACGTGTGTGCGTGCAAAGCGCGCGAATCCGTGTGAGTTATTAGCAGCGGCTAATTACGAAGTACGCTTAATAACGACGTACGTCGAGAATCGAAAGTTTTCTGAAACGAGATGGTGAGAGAGAACGCTCGAGGGAGGTCTCTCTGGTTTACGCCGGACTTCGAAACACCGGCGAATTATTCAAAGCGAATGGGACTGTTATTATCCGGATGCTCGACTATCCATGCATATAATAAGCCCGGGCTTTCAGCGAGCGAGCGCGACCGTGTGGCGGCTTTAGGCTTATGCGAGTTTTAATAACGTTTCGGGCAAAGCAATGATGTCGGCTGATCATCGGAATATTCCGGCGGAGATTTAAGTCGCAATTGGCCATATCGAATGTGTGATGTACAGATATGCCCTTTTATTTCGATTTAATCTCTTGCGTTCCCAATTAATTCATATCAAAAATGAATGTAGTATCCATCGCATTTTTCCCCCTGTTGGAAAACAGCTGATATCAACTTTGTTATTTATTGGAATATTTCTCATTTGTTATAAAAATATTTTTTTATTTCTTTATAATAGCCAATGATACGACTGTTGTTAAACGAACAAATATCGAAACGACATTGCTAAAATACAATTTATTTTGTTTGTAATTGCTTGTCTTCTTTTTTTTTCTGGTCAATTTGTATATATTTTTCGAGAGTAATATTTTTATTTGCACTGTATAATTTTTAAAACAGTGGAGCCATAAATATATCGCAGTTACGCTACGTTTAGAATTTAGCATGTGCTATTACAAGTCGGTTAGCTAACCCGTCATTAACGTATAATAGCGTGTAGCGGGCGTCTGAACGATCGTGCTTCGCGTACCAATAATTTCCATGCACTTGCGTCGGGGCAGTGGCGCCTGTTCTCCACGTACTGTCTCTTCAATATCTTTTCTTTTAGCTCCTCAACGACTTAGAACGGATGCTTGACATCTTGTAGGAAATTCTCGCGCGACGAGAATTGAAATTAATCACGTTCCGCGCGTATACTAATCAATGTTCCACTTTTAACTTTTTGCAATGCTAATTAAATTTCACAAAATTACTATCTTTATCCTTTTACAAATGAATGAACTGAGAAACATAAAGTTTTCATTGCAAGGTATAATTATTAACGAATTTAGAATTAATAGTTTCTTTAGAATATCGCGTTACATTTACAAAATCCTATAGAAACGTTTACGTGTCTTTCCGACTTCTTCAGTTATCATTTTGCAAGACTTCTCTCTTTACGTGTATTAACGTGTATCTAACGTAAAACTAAGTTATTCCGCCGTATTGATTCGCATCGGCGAATTTTTTTGTTGTTTTACTTCGAATTTCTTATTTGGTTCCTCGAGAATGGTCAACCATTTCCCTCCGTCATCTTCCAGATCCGGATGTAAATCCGTTTCGTGAATACGGCGCGAAGTTGCGAAGAGTAGCTGCGCTTTTTTTTCCAAATTTTCTCGCATCGAACTCCGATGGAGGTCGATTTCCCGACGGGTTTCGCCGTTGCCTCTCGTAAAGTTGAAATTTCAAAACTTTCACATTGGAGTTGCCGGTCTATACGAAGCCCGGAAGCACGCGGCAAACAAAATTGACCTAGGCTGCACATCCTCCGAGCGGTGGCGAAGCGATGGAAGAAGAGAGAAAGAAGGGCATCGAACGAAGAAGAGAAGTGGAGAACGCGAGAGGATAAGGTGAAACTGAAGGCGGTGGGCCAAGTCCGTCCGTATTGTTGGCCGTCGTGATTTTATTGCCTTTTTATATTGCCTCTGCGATACTCTCTTCTTCTTCTCGCTCTCTCCCTCTTCTCGCACCACGCTCATTTCCCTCTCCTCTTTTCTCTTCAAGTTCGTCGCTGTCTCTCCACTTCCGACCTCTCGCCTCGGGGTCGCGAGAGCGATTTTTACGAGGCAGCTCGTCTCGCGTCTCCTGAGATGCAACCCACCCGTCGCCACCCCCTGAAAATTGCAATCTCACAACAGTCAGGATCGTTTGTAATCGAGGAACGGAAAATAATGTCGGGCAGGCGCGCGTATCTGGTTGTGATTGCGAAATCGTAATCTAGAAACCGTGCGATAAAAATTTAAAAGAGAGACTTGGAGACGATCGAAATCGTACAATTTGTCTCTTGTACTGTCGTTTGTAAACGTATTTAGCCTCTCTTTAGTGTGTTTCTCGAGTTGAAAAGTTATCGTAGGAATGTAAATGTTATATGTTTAACTGGCTACTCGGACGAGCAGGCGGGATTCTATGCGCACGCGGGATATTGAAGAGACAGCAGAGACTGCCGTCGTTGAATCGCGGAAAAGGAAGAAAGCATCTTTAGATTTTTTTCAGAGAGAAGCGCGGGCACGCGCGTGCTTTATTCCGCACATATTTATAGTATACAGGATTTTCTTTTCGTCTTTGAGGCTCGGCGTGGGCAACGTGATAGCACGCTGGGTTTCCTATTAAACATACTCGGATAACCTTTAATTAGGCAGATGGGATGCGAGAGACGAAACGTAAATACGCACTTGTATAGATATTGCTCGTAGAATTATGGAACGTATTCTATTTAATTTGAAAGCCGAGGAAAGATCATTATATCTCGTTATATCCGCATAGTGCCTGTGAGTTACGATAATTATTGGTGCGAAAATAAGAAATTGTGTATTGCGCAAAATCATTTGATAGGATACAAGTTTTTTAACAATAAATATCAAGTTATATCACAAAACAAAACCAATAACTTTTGAAATTGTGGAGTTTTTTTTGTTGATGAACAAATTTTTTTACTGTTAATTTTTTTTATTGACTAGCTCTTCCGGTTTTGAATAATTACTATGTATATAGATACAGAAAATGCCTTAAATTATTCATTTTTTTTATCCAACTTTCAAATCACAGAGTAACGCTGTGGTTATTTTGTTTTCACTCGACCGCTGTAATTTGGCGCGTTTTACCGCGTGAAGTGTATAAATCGCAAATTATTCTCGTGATCAGCTTGCCCGTCATTCGATAAGCGGTCGGAGTCTGCGGGATGACCCGTTAGTTGCCAACAACGAGGCTGCCGACGACCCCGGACACATCCTGTGGGTCACCGGTGATCCCCGGACTCTTCGTTCAACAGGTAGCGCTCTCTCGTAGCCCGAGTTCGCCGGCGACCCAGCCCTCTCCATTATATTCATATCATGTAAATGCGCCCTACCGCGCTTCAGCCGACTCCTATTTTCCACCCCTGTGCCAAGCCAGACGTAAAGCTGTACCGGATAAAGATAGAGGGAGAGAGAAGAAAGCGAAAGAGAGAAGAAGAGG